CCCAACCTGGGAAAAAGGCAGGAGGTATGTTTCTTCTATGGAAAAACTGAAGGACAGAAGCTCCATTTCAGAAGATTCAAGAATCACAGAAGAGGAAAAGTGAAACTTCGGAGAGCTAAGTGAAGAGTTTACCTACAGAAAAGCACACACTTGCCCATTTATCTTCTCAATTCCAAGAATGCGAACACCCAGGCAAATACCACCAAGCAAAGACTAGAGGGTTGGTCTCTGCACAGGCTGAAAAATTCCAGAGAAAAGAACTATAGATTCTAATACTTGGATATCCTCCAGTTCAAAAATAAAGGGTGGAAAAATTATATTTTAACATGACAAAAAACACAGGTTACCTCTAATACACTGTATTTTGTCGTAAGAGTCTATTACTTAACCTGCCTGCACTTAATTATTAAAGTTGAGTCCATCAAGATTTTAGACTTCCCCAGAAGAAAAATTTAGAAATGTTGGTAATTTTTTACATTAAAAAGTTCTTGGACTAAACAAGTGTCCTAAATTTCTCATTCAGAACTTGCTTTAAATAGAAACCCTATGGAAGGAAGGTAACTTACAAATCTTACAAGGACAGAATAAGACATTACATTGGGTATTAGGGTCTATGACTATTAGCTGGAAATGCCATATAAAGCTGGATAATTGTGGTAGGCTGAAAAATGCCTCTCCCCTGCAAAATATTCAGGAAACTTTATACCAAATGGTATACATATGCCATTTATACCAAACATAGAAAATGGTATCCTTTACCCTAAATAAGTAGTCTTAAATATTAGATACGATGGAAATGAATCAACCCAGCAGAGAATGTTGCCTTTTGAACAGTGTAAAACTAAGTTCACACTCATCTTGTTGAAAAGGGAAAGATTAGCAAGCATTAGATATTAAAAACTAGAAATAGATACACTTTCTCTTTATAAACTGAGAGAATGAATAAAAAAACTGAAACAGGACTAAATTCTCATCATGTAATGCAAATATCATTAATGCCCTGTCTCTGGACCATTTAAAATCATATCTCCTCCCACCACTGGAAGCTACACCTGCCTGTAATCAATTCTCTTCTCACCTCCTCACACAGAAGACTTAGAGTGGCTGAAAAGGAAAATTAAGGTCTTTCTTCTGAATATGCAACAGCAATCATAAAAAGTCCATTTCACTTGGTAAAGAAAAGGAACTTGATGACAACATCTAAGTACAGTGGTTTCAATTTCAAAGAATTAGGTGAGAGAAAAGCTTAAGTATTCTTTTTTTGAAAGTCACAAATAGAAATTGTAAGAGTCATGAACTATTAAAAAAATATATCTTAAACTCTACTTTCTTTAGCAGGATATCATAAATATGGTGTTTAACATTGCTAGTCAAGATCATTTATTTAATCACGTCATATCAGTCAGAATGGCCATCATTAAAAAGTCCACAAATGATAGATGTTGGACGGAGTGTGAAGAAAAGGGAACCCTCCTACACTGTTAGTAGGAATGCAGTTTGGTGCAGTCATTATGGAAACTAGTATAGAGACTCCTCAAAAAACTAAAAACAGACAACCATATGATCCTACAATCTTACTCCTGGGCATACACCTAGAGGAGACTCTTATTTGAAAAGATACATGAACCCCAATGTTCATAGCAGCACTATATACAATAGGCAAGACACAGAAGTAACATAAATGTCCACTGACAGATGACTGGATAAAGAAGTTGTGGCATATATTTATCCAATGGAATACTACTCGGGTCATAAAAAAGAATAAAATAATGCCACTTGCAGCCACATGGATGGACCTAGAGATTATCATTCTAAGGGAAGTAAGCCAGAAAGAGAAAGAAATATACCATATGATATCATTCATATGTGGAATAAGAAAGAAAGAAAGAAAAAAAGGAAGAAGGAAAGAAAGGAAGAAAAGAGGAGAGAAGAGAAGAGAAAAGAAAAGAGAAAAGGGAAGGGAAGGGAAAAAGAGGATACTAATAAACTTATCTACAAAAGAAACAGACTCACAAGACACCATTAACAATCTTATGGTTCAGGCAAAGGGGTAGAAATGGATAAATTTGGGAGTTTGAGATTTGCAAATGTTAACCACTATATACAAAAATAGATAAACAAATTTCTTCTGTATAGCACAGTATCCTGTAATAACCTTTTATGAAAAAGAATATGAAAACAAATATATGTATGTATATGTATGACTGGGACATTGTGCTGGATACCAGAAATTGACACATTGTAACTGACTATACTTAGATTTAAAAAAAGATCATCTATTTAATGAAAACTTTTATTTTCATTTTTTATAAGAGGTAGAAAAGTCATAAATCTCTCCATAGAAGCTAGGTACAGTATCATCACTGGCTTTGGCAAATCTAAAGTTTGAAAATGGAATACACAAGACCACTCCTGTGATGGTGGCCTAAAGTGAGGACACAGTAACAACAGAAAAGTCAGGCTGAATTGCAAAAGCAAAATCATGAAAAAATAACAAAGGCTACAAAGCTGAATATAATGAAAGTTTGTGTATGAGTGAGAAAATTGCCTCCTGCTTACCCGGAATGGAGTCATGCTAAAATGAAGCCCGTTCTGGAGGGCAGCGTCAATATATCATATATTCCGAATACCCTTTAGAAGATTTAACACAAGTACAGTAGGAATGCAAAAAGAATCACTGGATTAAATAGAATGGACAGACATGTAACTTAGTACCAACCACATCCTTCTTACAGCCAGATGCCATTCCATCCACTAACACTGAACTCCCTCCCACTAAAGGGCACACTGCAAACACTATGAAAGATGTAATACTGGTCGTAAAAATTAAGAGAATTAAAGTTGGTAAAATGTACCTTTAGAGATAAGAAACTAGCCAAAAATTTATCATAAGAAATTACAATTACAAATGAAACATATCAAGAAATAAAGACTGAAATCATTAAAACTTCATGGAAACTGAAAAGGAGTACTAAACAGTAGTACAGTATAGTATAGTGCTGTATCATCGATTAAACTTTACCAAAATAGGCAGTTGTGAATCATTTTTTCTTAATGAAGTGAGTCTTTTGCAGTTATATACTAATTTAAGTATCTGTTACACTAAATTAAAAAGAAACTGGCAAGTGCCCTGATGAACAAAATGTGACCCTTTCACAGCCTTTCCACATACCATATAATCTTAATACTCTAGGAAGTAAAGTATCTAAACATGAAAAGTCTATTGAAATGATGGCAGGAGAAAAAAATTAAGAGATACACAGTCATGTAATAGTGATACTAATAAACTTCATAAAAAGTCTATTTTAACTATTGCAACTGTCTAAACTTCCATGTAGAAGATATATTGGTTTTAGGAAAGTAAAAAAAGAGTAAGAGTTTATTCTCTCTTATTAAGAATTCCCAGAATGCAAGGATGGATCAACATGAGAAAATCATTATAATTTACTACATGAAATTCATTAAATGGAATATGACATGATAGTTTCAATGGATCAGGAAAGACATTTGTTAACTCCCAAAACCTGTTACTTATGATTGGAAAACAAAAACAAAAGCCTCTGTAAAATCTTTGTTAAAACCAAAAATTTCTTAACATGATAAAAGGTATCCAATAGAAATCTACCAAAACTATACTTAAAGGAGAAAATTTAGTCATATAACTTTTGAGGTATAAATGTCTCCCTCTCCTCCATCCAATGAGAGTCATGTTTAAGCCAGTACTAGAGGTCCTGACCAATATATAAAATTAGACAATTATTAGAACTAAGGTTGTTCAGCAAGAGTGTTGAATCAACAAAATAAATCACTCAACAATGTGGCAGGTACACTAGAAGTACCAAATTTTAAAAAATACCATTTACTATAAAAACAGGAAATAATAAATAACTAGAAATTAGACTAACAACAACAATTAAAAACTTAAACTATATTAGAGAACAGAAAAAGACCTGATAAGAGCTCTCCCTTATTTATTGAGAAGATGACTTAACATTTTAAACACACTGCATTTTCTCCGTATTAATCTAAATTCAAAGCATTTCCAATTAAACTTCCAAGAATTTTTGGGTAACCTGACAAACTGATTGAAACTTGTGTTAAACCAAATGCCCACAAATACTTAAGAAAAGCCTGGCAAAGAACAGGGGGACTTGCCTTAGCAGATGTCAATTACAGAGTCACTGTACTAATACGTGCGGTTACTGGAACGGGAAGAGACTAATAAACCAACTGACTACACTAGACATCACAAGGCCACTTCTCTTACACATACCAAAATCTCATATATGCATGAGTCTGAACCATGAGTTTAACACAATGAAACTTACCGTAATTACTGTTATAATTAAATTTTATTTCTTTCAACCCACAGAGATTAGACCTGGAAAGTACCGGAACTAAAAGATCTAACTCTCTCTTCCTAAAACAGCACTTATTACAACTTCTGTCCCCAGCCTCTAACACTCGCCCATTTCCTCCTCCTTCGACCAGAGAAGATGTTCCCTCCATCTGTTTAGCATGAGGGGCTGGGAAGAAGACAAGAGCCAATCACATGTCACATTACATGTAAATTTGCATAATAGCAGAGTTTTACTATACATGTAAAGCATATGTAACATAGTGTTTAATATACAGTGTTCAAAAATATTAGTTTTTCTCCAGGTACCCAGTTTGATGTCTCTCTATATAACTTCACAACTAGCTCATACCCTAATGTCTAAGGATAGTTAGTGAAGGTAAAATGTAGCATATGACAAGGTGTGGCACATGCAATACATCTCTTTCCTAAAGACCAGTGGTTCTCATATCTCAACATATGCATCAGAGTCACTTGGAGATGCTTGTTAAAGCACAAATCGCTGGACTCCATTCCCAGAGTTTGTCATCAGTAGGCCTGGTGTGAATGACATTTATAACAACTTTCTGGGTGGTGCTAATGTTCCTTGTCCACAGGCCACAGTTTCGTTTTTTGTTTCTATTGGGTTTTTTTTTTTATTCAGTCTCCGTAGAGACTGTCAAAAACTGCCAACACTGACTATATTTCAAGGCACCATGGTGGGTATTGGGAAAGTTTTCAATTAGCAATAATTGCACCTCGGATAAACATCATTGGCTACCATACTGCCACTGCAAAAAGCTCAGGTCACAGTTTTAAGAAACACTGCCCTATTGAGCATAGGTTCTCAACTGAAGGCAAATTTGCTCTTCAGGGGAAATAAAGCAGTGAATGTATATATTTTTGGTTGTCACAACCTGGAGGGGTGAGAGGGAGAGGTAATACTACCATTTACTAAGTATAGACCAAGGATGCTGCAAAACTTCCTGCTACATACAGGAGAGCTCCCCACAGCAAAGAATTACGTGCAGAGGGTAAGAAACTTTACCAGAGTAAAACATAGCTTACTCCAAATACATAATTTGACCATTAAGCTGGTGAAAGTTTTTCAGTGAGTTTCAAAAATCTGACATGGAATAAATACTCTAAGAATTGTATCTTTCTTCAAGTATTGATAACTCTTTGAATTTTACTCATCCATAGCAAAATGAAGTTTTAAAAATTGTAATGCTTAAAGATATATTAGGCTACAGAAAGGAATAAGCATTTATGTAAGGTTGTTGGTATAGTTCTAGTGAAGAAACAAAGTAACATTCATTTTGCAAGAACAGTAAGAAAACTAATTGTATTAAAAGACTAATAATTTCCTTTAAAATTATGATCAGTGATATTAATTTCTTAAGCTAAGTTAAAAGCAAACAACTGTTCATTTTATTATTATAATTAGTATATATGAAATATTTTATAATGAACAATTTGTTTTAAGAAAAGCAGTGATTGTAGCAGTAATTAATCCTAAGTAAATATATCTAAGGAAAATGTACTTAACACACACATGCACACGCACATACGTGCACACACACACAGAGACAAATGAACTTACTCCAATGGGCTGAAAAATGAGTCCATCCATTTCATGGCTAACTTCTTTGGCAAAATTTCCTTCAAGTAGCTGTAAAATAAATGCACATACTTTTAGAAAGGCAATAATCAATACATAAATCACCTTAAAAGTTTTTTAATTTTTTGTATGCTTTGTAAGAACTTCTTAATACATAAATTTTAAAAACTGAAATACAAAATGGGAGAGAGGGGTGAAACAGACGGGTCTAGGTGAATATATTGTTAAGTTTTTTAAAAATATATGAAGATTTCCATTCCACACAGCAGGCTAGATATTCTGATAGTCCAAACTACAACAAACAAAATGATGGATAAAATATTAAAAACATATTTTTATATGAAAACAAATATATGTATGTATATGTATGACTGGGACATTGTGCTGTACACCAGAGATTAACACACTGACTGTACTTCAATTTAAAAAAAAGAGTTTAAATTCAGCTCAAATGAAAAAAAAATTTTTTTTCTTCTTCCAGTTATGTTAAGATATAATTAGCACACAGCACTGTGTAAGTTTAAGGTGTACAGCATAATGATCTGACTTAAATACCTGAAATGATTTGCACAGTACATTTAGTGAACATCCATCATCTCATATAGAAACAAAATTAAAATACGTATTTCTTCCTTGTGATGAGAACTCAGGATTTATTCTCTTAACAACTTTCATATATAACATAAGGAACATTAATTATATTAATCATGTTGCACATTAGATTCCTAGTACTTATTTATGTTACAAAAGTGGTCAAAAGGTACAAATTTCCAGTTATAAAACATATTTGTAAATGCATGAAGCTGAGCCAGCATAACAGGAAGGAAGACACAGAGATCAAGACTAAAATGAAAGTAGAAACTCTGGGGAGTAATAAATAAAGAATAAAAATAAACGTATACAAAAAAGGAAGGAGCGGAGAATCCTGCCTGGGATAGGTGGAGGGGTGGGGGATGTTCTGAAAATCTGACCACAAGCTAGCTCAGACATGGGGACTGTAGCCCCAAAATGCATTATCTATGTTTTCCCTAAACCCTCAAGCAGAAAAAAAAATTTAACTTTTCTTTTTTTCCCTACTTCTGTCTCATTTTTTGTCTTTTTCATTTTTTTTAAGCAAAAATTGCATTGCAGGGAATACACATTATGAAATACAAACAGTGTTTTCAATGCCGCTATCTACTGAAGAGTGGAGTTCCAGGCCCAATGCTGTCTAATTACTTCTGAACAAATAGTTTTAAATGCTTCTCTTTCACAGATTTTTATTATTCTCAAGAATTGAGTATGTGTATCACTGACTAAGGGCCTAAACACTGGTTTCTGCATCTCACAGAAAAGAACAGAATATACTTTCACAGAGCCAGGTAACAATGTCATGTTACCCAGCTTCTGGCCAACTGACAAACATTCAGGATGGTCCTGGGATTCAAATATGGCCACCAAAATTTCAGATATGCTGTGTTATCCAATCACAATCTATGATCACAATCACATTCTCTTAAAACCACTACACTTATAGGGAGATTTGCATTCCAAAAGCAACAATCAAAATTTTAAGCATGTTTCACTCGAAACAAGATCTGTGATCTTCCTCCCAAACTGTGGCTTTATCTTCCCTGACATTTGTTTCTTGGAAATCCGAAATCTGTCATTTCTCTAAACTGGAGGCAGTTCAGCAAAGGAAAATAAGAGCAATCCTAGTTTCTAACTGCTTTAAGACCAATTTGACTTAGAATATCTACATTTCCTTAAAATTGTAATGCTCCTTAGTCAAACTCATGGGGGCAGAAATTAGAGAGGCTGGGGGACGGGAGAATGAGGAGTAGGGAGAATGAGGAATTAGTGTTTGATGGGTACAGAGCTTCAGTTTGGAAAGATGAAAAAGACCTGGAGATAAATGACATCAATGGCTGCACAGCAATGTGAATGTACTTAATGCCACTGAAATGCATGCTTAAGATGGTAAGTTCAATTTTATACTATGTATATTTTATTACAATTTTTTTCACTGTAATGCTCTTGATGTTTTCTTTTTTGTTTTGTTTTGTTCTTTCCTCTTATTATGACATTAAGCAAGTGGGGAGCTTGTAGATTGGGACTCTTAGAGTCTCACTATCTAGAGCTTAGCCAAATAGGCAGAAATTTCAGGGCAGATCTGAAATTGATCTCCAATTCGCTCATAGGTTTAAATGACTGAGCCATCTGAGGGGGAAATTTACCTAAGTAAAAATTCAATATGGATTAAAAGTACTGATTTCTTTGAATGAAATAACGATGAGTAAAGGTTCAAACAAGAAAAAAATGTAAAACATTGATACTTCTTGTAATTCCATCACATAAGAAAAGGTAACCTGTTAAATTCATAGCACAAATCCTGCTGCTGAGGAATGATGCAATGAAAACCAAATAGCACAATCATCTTTTTAAAAAATTTCTAAAAGGTTATACAATTTGTTCTTTTATCGTAGGTACATCATTTATAACAAGTAAATATAGCTTTTCCATTCTCAGACCAAACTTCTCTAATTCATACACTGGATCATCCCTGGATATAAAGTGTGCACAAACAGTATAAAGTACAGTGCTGGCAAGATTCTAGATAATATGATGCTACCTGCTGCAGAAGTGAAAGTAATTTCATTTTTTATTTTACTCTAACTTTCTAAGAATCAGAGAATTTAAGGGACTATGAAACTTCTTAGGTCAAAAGAAGAAATATTCCTTATTTTCACTTTTATTCCTTGTTGATTACTCCAGACAATATTTCTTTCTTGACTTACCATATTTATGATACCACCTGTCATTTGTTAAAGACCTAAAAGGTGGTGGTGTGCTTAGTTCTTACCGTATATCATTCAAAACACACAATTCCTGATGAGTTGTATAATTTTGCATTTTATATTATTATTCACTTCACCAGAAAAGTAAACTGAGGCCTGGAGAAATTAAGTAACTAGTTTCAAGTCAGACAGCTTAAAAATTTAAAATCACTCAGAACAGATTTCAATCAGACTTTAACTAAAATTAAGAAAATAACCAAAGAAAGTCTGTGACTGTCTGAAGCAAATGCTCCAAAGATTTCTGAAACTTTCCACATATATAGGTCCTCCAATCATCATTTAAAACTTACAAACTTTAAATGTACTTTAGCATGTACTACATGAATAAGATACATAGAAAGGGAGGTAAAATACTTGGGATGGAGGGAAGGCTTTTTGGGGATAAAGAGAAAAATCTAAAATTGTTAATTTATAATTCATTTATTTATTCTGATTAGAAATCAGATATGTAAAATAGCATGTTAAATTTTAAATATTGCTTTTTTCTAGTTATAATTCCTGAAAGAAAATTTATCCAAACTTGTTATGAGCATCTTTATATATCAGTGTCTTTATCACTAGGGCCAATACTTAGTCACTTAACACATTTCCATCATCTTCACTGCTGTCTTTGAGTTACAGCATACTTCAAATTATACATGAGACTGTCACTACAGATGTTATCACAAGCTACAAGTACTGACTGAATAATATTAGCAAAGCTTTTTCCCTCCTCACCCATTCCTCAGATCTATATTCATAATTGTAAAGTGCTTAATGCCTTTAAGTTTATCTTTAAAAGACTAGTTTACAGGAAAGTTCCAATCTTGCAATGTAAAACATGGCAAGAGAATGCCTCTTCTAACCTGATAATACATTTTTTAAAAGCAGATAATCTATAAAAACATAGCTTTTGTTAAGGCCATTAGAGGGCTGAGGTCTACAGTAAACCAGGTAAACTGAAGCCCAAGCCCCTCCAAAGGAAGATGAGACACATGAACTGATTGCCTTTGGGAAAGCATAAGAGGAAAAAATGGCAGTCCTAAAAGTGAGTACAAAGAAAAACTGAAAGTCTGACCAATTCTTAAAAACCAAGTGTGGGCAAGTTTAGAATCCCTGGAAGCCCCAAACACAAGAGAAATCCAAACATGTTTACTAGCTCTATTCCCCAGGCTTCTCGGATTCACAGGAAAGACTGAGGGCAAGACAGGAAAGATGAGAAAGCCTCATCTTAGTTGCAAACAGACATAAAACCCTTTACAGACCATTCCTGATATGAAGCAAAGGCCATCTGAGGATAAAGTCGTCTGCAGCTATACAAGGGGCCAGAAACAGCCTTGGTCCATGGATATTAGGTCGATAAAAAACAGAAAAATTTGCTCCTGCCAAAACTTCCTACCCATGCGAGGCAAAATTCAGCTGCCAAGAGGGAAAGGTCAGCCCACTGAGGGGAAACCCGTCCTTGAGACTGAGGTGCTCAGGCTCTGCTTAATACCAGGACTTGAGGAAAACTAAGAAAACTCCACTGCCCCCACAAGTCAGGCATTGAGTGCCAAGCAACTGTCAATTACATATGAGGGAGAACACAACAGCACGAAAACAGACCACCAGGTGGTACAGGTGAGCAGCGCCCAAGTGAAGCAGGAACACTGGGAAAACCCATTTCACACTACAGGCCTCTCAATAGGCTCAACCAACAGAAGTCATCTGCTTAAGGATTACTGAAGGCTGTGGGGCCCTGAAGATAACTATATAGCAACACAAACCCATCTCAAACACAGAACAAAACTGTTTCAACGACTAACCTCCCCCACCCCAAAATGAGGCTTAATAAACTGAAAGGAGAGGTATGCCTAGTACTAAGCACAAAGGTATTTACCTCAGTCTCTGCTGTTCAACCAGGAAAAAATGACCAGCATCCAATAAAAAATTATCACACACACGTAAAAGCAAAAAAAAGAACTACATTCAAAAGTTAAGGCAGTCAGTAGAATAAGACACAAGGATGGCCCACATTTTGTAATTATCAAAGTCTTTAAAATAAACTTAATATTTTAAAGGAAAAGGCGGAAAACATGCATGAGCAAATGTGGAATTTCAGCAAAGAGATGAAAACTATAAAAATGACACAATGGAAATGCAAGGAATAAAAAACACAGTATCAAAGAAAAAGAATGCCAATCAGTGGGAAGGATAATAATGGGCTTATCAGGAGACTGGATATAACAAAGGAAA